AAATTAGTTCAGATTAACTTTCCCCAACTGTCCCCATGTAGACAAACCAATATAAACTACTGATACCCTATTGTTTAGAGCACAGTACAAACAGCCAGGTAAATATGTTCTCAGAGTCAAAGACTAAGACAGATCTAAAAATGCAAAGATAAAAAATGCAAAGATATTTGGACCCCCATTATCAACAAATTAGATAAAATACTGATCAAATAATATATGATGAAGATCTATCTAAAATACAATGGTACCCTGTATGCTTGATTGATTTATTTAAGAATGGGTGCAGAGCTTACACACTCAAGAGATTTGATTATTTTCTGTGACAGTACAATACATTGAATGCTAATTAGAAAATATCTCCCTATTTGAAAACTAAGGTGGAGGTGGCTTATGAACTGACAATGAGGCAGGTAAATGGAAAGGACAAATGTAAAATGAGTAAACATTCCCAATTTATATTGTGGGAAAATCATACCAGTACTGCTACATGACGGTGATATGTCTGCAGCTGTCCACAAGAAAACATTTCCCTCTGATCAGTGAAACTGCTTGTGCAGCAGGACAAAATTGGGACTCTGTCTGTGTGACCTCCATTAGATTACAGTACATAACCAATACCGGACAGAAAGGAAGCCTCCCTGGAGGTTGGCCATACTGCATCTTAGGGCTGTTATATGTTTGGGACCAAAGCCACCTATAGTTTATTATGACAATAAAGATTTCCATCATTTCAGAATTCAATTTCTTTCTATTCCATAGAGATCTCTTGTTATATGAAGCATCAGCATAAAAAAGTGAAATAAAAAAAAAAACATGCTGAGAGCTCAGACTTCATATGTACTCTGAAAAATGTCATTTGACATTGGTGTTTCAATGCTTGTTGCTTCTTGCTTCCATCTGCTGGTGGAAACTTGAAAAGCATGACACACTAAAAGCCTCTACCTTTGGAGGAAGAAAAGCTAATTTCTGGAAGCTTTTAAATTCCATGCCTGTTACTAAAGCCTGCAGACATTTGAGAAATTATGCCATTGTGCTCTTTTAACTTAAAGCTAATCGTTACATGTGAAGAACTCTCGTAAAGTTCTGCCCTCATAAACAAAGTTACACAAACTAACGAAGACAACACTGTATATTTTCTGGCAGCTCATGCAATAAATCAAGGAGGATTTAAGACATATAGAGTTACAGCCAAGTTGTAAGAATTTATAAACCACTCTCTTTCCTTTGGAATTCAGGTGTCAAAGGGAAGAGATGTGAAAAACTCAGTGCATCATGCACTCATTTCCAGTTTGGCAAAATTTTTGGCTAATGCTATGTGCTCTGATTCCTAATCCTTTCCTGCCCTTGACCCCTGCTGTCTAGATTCAAACTTGTAGCCATTAGTGGAGCAGGATCAAGACACTGGCTTTCCAATGCCGCAACTGGGGTTTAGAAGGGATTTAAACTCTCTGCTTTTCAGCCTGGTAAAATGAACACAGCAGTAGATTAATGCAAGGATTTGTGCTTACACAGCATGAGAGCTTTCAAAAATAGTGTTAACAGAGCTACAAGTGCCTCTCAGAGAGGAAGCAAAACAAGAGAGGTCAGACCCAACAAACGGATGGGTGCAGGGCAAAGTCTGGCCAGTGCTATTGTAGGTACAGGGGCTTCTATGTGGAGGGGGCCTGGGCCACAGTGTAGCCAAGAAGGGGCTTTATACACCTTCTGCGTGCTGCAGGGACCGGTTCTGTACCGGTGCAAGTATAGTCAGAATAAAGACATAGCTGCTAGATCCACTGCTGTGAGTACTAGCCAATGTCTCTGGGAAGGGAGAATACAAAGACTGTGGACATTGCTGCTGTCTAGGGACAGTTATGCAGCCTGAAGAAGAATCCCTTGCCCAGCCTTTCTGTTTACTTGTGTTTAGACAGGGATTGAGGTTTTGGTGCACAAGACAGTTGTGTTGAATTTATGTAGGAAAAGAACAGGTTTTTCTTTAGGAGAGGGTCCAATTTAGAATTGCTTTGAAAGGAGCGCATTTCTCCCTTTGCAAAGGATACTGCATTGAAGGCAGGGTGCTGTCTTTGTGGTGAAGCCATGTCTGTTCTGCCTGTGCGCAGGAACCTTATCTCCTGGGCCCTCATGCGACTTGCTTCCCCCTTGTTCAAGGCCGGCAGCAAAACACATTTAAGTCCAGAGCAGTCAGACAAACCTCTAAAGGTTTAGAACTGTTGTTTCAAAAGATTTCTCCAGACACGCCAATCCATAAGCCCTTCCAGGGCTGATCCTAGACTACTGAATCCAATGGGAGTTCTGTCATTAACTTCAATGAAAGATGGGTTGCACTCTTGGTGCTTTGTTATTGCTGTGTTTCTTCTTTGCCTTAGGCAAGGACCTATTTGTTTGTTACCTGTGCTTATTGTGCAGTGCTGGGAACATTGGTGGGGCTAGCTAAAACCATTTTGCCATTTAGATTTGGGCAGCCACTCAGAACTTTGGTTATTTAAACGATCCCAGCACAACTAGGCTGGAAATAATCTCAAGAGAAAAGGTTCTTTGGTAGGATCTCCCCATAGGATGAGCATATTGCAGGGACAGCAGTACTTTTGCTTCAGGCAGGAAATTTGAAGTGCAGAGGAGCATGAAAATGGAAAATACACTTAAACAATGAGATGTTTCCATACCACTTCCTCCCCTCTCCCCAACCTCATCAGAAACAGTTTGATTCAGTTCTGGGTAGGGCAAATGCCTGGCTTTATTTTTATTTTATCCAAACCGATTCATATATTCCTGATTTTGAGGCAAACACCATCTCTGGTTTACAGCTAGAGCAGCTGGGGTGGTTGCTAGAGCCATTCCAGTGACCTCTAAGGAGAGGGAAGGAATGCTTCTCCCCAGTTCACATCGTAGTGGCTTCAGCATCTCACCCTGGACTGAAGCAGCACTCCTCCCCCTTTCCTCCTTCAAGGACACTTCTGTGGGGATATGCCCACCAGCCCCTGTTCCTCTCATCTGCCTCACCCACAAAAGCACTCAACCTTGTAGACTTCTATGGAGCTATGCTTTATGGCACAGTGGAGCTCAACTCTGCCCACAAGGATTTCTAGAGCATGCCTAGTCTAATGAAATTCTCTAATTGATTAAAACCAATCCAGTGACTGTGGTCATACAACCAAGTAGGACTGCTTAAGGAGGCCTGGTTCATTTTTTACCAAACAAACTCCAAGATCACTTAGAATCATGACATCCCTTCCTCTCCTACAGTGGAGCTGTATCAGTTCTGCTGCCTTTAGTGTCCTCTATAACTACAGAAGGCAGCATTTGAGCGCATCAGTTTGGTCAGGGTGGAGTCCGAGCTGGTGCTAAATCTTAGAAGTGCTTTTACCTGCAAGTAGGTCTAAATATATCAGCTTGTGGCCACCTCCACAGAAGTGTGTATGTTTGGTTCCCCAGGGACAACTAGCAGTGGCACACCTCTGGCGTGTACCCTGGGTGGGGGAGGCTGGAGCCAGCACTGGGTTGGCCCCAGCAACCTTATCTGGGATCCCGGTGGCCTCCTAGGGTTGCAGCAGCAGCAATCCTATTGCTTGGAGCCTGGCTGGCAACCAGAGCATGGCTCCAGCTGGCCAGGCTCTGGTTTTGGGTGGCACATAATGTCCCCATGTGCACCACCCTGCTTTTTTATTGCGCGGGATCTCCTGGGGTCAAAAACCTCCAGTACGAACAATTGACTGCATGGTATGTGGTACTACAGATATGTCTGCAGTGCCAAATATCACACAGCCATGCTCGTCTGGATGTGGTCTGTTTGAGCATTTTCGTCAGAAAATTCTTTGGGATTAGACTGTGCCATTTGTATTTATTTCAGTATTTCCCTACTCCACGAGTAGTCTGGGACAATCACCCCAAGCCAACCCTTAATGAGGAAAACAGCTCTTTTCCTCTCCCAGTCTGTTCTGCTCTGCTCCCTCTTTATCCAAACTAACTTACTGCTGATGGCAGGATGGCGGCACATTCCCATTTCACGCCAGCTTGATTAATATGTTTCAGTTATTTGTGTGAAAGATTCCAAGGCTTCAGAATGTGAGACCAGGTTATTGTTCAGCCAATCACAGTTAGCATGTGAAAATGGGGGATGTTTAGTGTTCATGCACCAGATTCAAAGGAGGGGCATCTTGGAATGGGTCACACAGCAACACCCACTTCTTTGAACGGGTGTTACTATGCTCTACTAAACCTGTAAAACTTTGGCTCGAACCTCTTCTTTTCTCTCCCCCTCTTATTTTTTCTAGATAGATTCCCCCTCCCACCTTTCAGGGTGAGAATGAGAGAGACTGGCTAAGTCTGTAGATGGATGGATTTCACGTTTCAGGGTTTTTAATATTTCACTTTTATATTTCTCTTAGAGAATGATCCTGCTGAGAGGCTAAGAATTGGTGCTCATCATTTCCCCCTCACTGACACTTGGATATATTGCTCTGAAAGATATCCCAGGAGAAAACATTAAACAAAAAAAAAAAAAAAAAAAAAAAAGAGCAAGTGAGAGAGCCTGCTTTTCAAAGCATATTTCTCAACCTGCCCACATCAAAATAAGAGACAACTGGCCCTTTGAAGTTCAGGACACAGACTTCTCAACCAGCCTGCATTAAAATAAAAGAAACTAGCTTTATAAATCACACAGACTTCTCACCTTGCCCACTTCAGAATATGGGGAAATGACCTTTAAAAATTGGGCTTAAAGGCCTCATAGGTCATCTGTAAAAGAATAAATAGGGCAGATAAGCCATACCCCGAGGTACCTCTCAACTTCTCCAGGGAATAATAGGCGATGCTGGCCCTTTAAGCTGAAGGGCTGAGACTGACTTAGCACTTCAGACAACAAAATGCTAAATCAGTCTAATGTATATCTATTTTTAGGGATTCCCTAGAGCCTAGAACAAGGTCCCCTGGTATTTGTATAGCACAGCATTTTTAAATGAAGAGTATAACTGATTCAGGAGTCACACTTAATGAGATCATACCTGGCTTATAGTTGGGAAGCTTGGAAAGTCCTGGCCATGTGCCCTCACTTGGGACCCCCAATATCTGTGCAAAACAAGAGAGGGAGAGAGAGAGAGAACAGAAATAAATGTTGTTTGCAAGTACCTCCATACAGTAGGTGTGTACCATTTAGACTTCAGTTAACTGGTTGTGAATCCAGAGTAATGCCTTGGAAGTCAGTCACAATCCCTGGATGTGCACCAACATTAAAAAATTGGAACCTGGTTCTGTATGCAAAGGACTGAGCTTCTTTAGTACTGTTGATTTTCTAATGAAAAGGGACCTTCCAAACCTTAATGTCACTGCTGCTGGGAATGTCAGCGTACATATGCAGCTGCACTGACAGATGTCATTTGCACTGTATTTCCAATAACAGGGTCACATTGTACAGACTTGTTTACAGCTAAAGGTGTCCCCCTAGGGCCTGGATTGCATTGATGAGTGATTGTCTCCAGTTGTACTCGCACCACATGATATGCACTCAGTGGCTGCACACTGTCACTGGGATAGAGACCCCTGCTGTTTTGAGATGAAAAAGAAAAGATGGTAAAGAGAGCAACTGACAGGTACTAAAAATAATTCAGGGCCCAGTTTTGAGAGTGGCTGAGCCTCAATTACACCTCTTGCCTTGAATTATGAATCTTTATGTGGCTCAGTACCCTTCAGGAAAGTGTCTCTAAAGTTTGCTTTTGCTGCTGAAGACTATGGATTCGAGCACATCTATGTACATATTCTGTTTGAAATAGCAGCTGTTTAGTGTGAAGATTATTATTTGTTACATGCAAAAAGTACTGTGTCTAATTCTCTGTTAATGAGCTATGCTAAACAAGTAAAGTCCATGCCCAGGAGCGTTTAGAATATGACACAAAATAATAAAACAATACTGCCAACCCCCAGAGTTAAAAAAATCAGGATTCATGCCCCCAAAGAATCATGAGATTGCCATAAAGATCATGAGGGCATAATCTTTAAATTACATTTGCATTAGGTTTTATTTTTTTTCCCTATAACTATACGATCTAGAAATGTACTTTTCTTTGAAATGAAAGTTGCTACTCTCATGTAATAAGTAGGCAACGGGAGCTAGAGCTTTAAGAAAAATATTAAGTGTTGCAAGATTTGGAGTAAAATTGTGATGGTTGGCAATTCTATCAAATACAGTACAGGCAGAAAAAGTCCAGAATATGATTGATACAGGTAGCAGATCTCTGGTAAGCTGATTTGCATTTTTCACTTGTATTTTGGGAACCCTAAAAGAGCAGTGATGACAGTTACTATAATCTGCAAGTTGGAAAGAGCAGCTAGAATAACAGATTTGGGTGAGGCTATTGCAATTCATGGATAGTGTGCTTGTAGCGCAGATAGGACCCATAACTATAGTTTGTTACAGAACAAATCACAGAAGTGCAAACCCCTACATTCTCTTGTGGGAACAGAACACTTGACATTTGAATCTAGAATTATGTAGTAGTCTTTTATCTCTGTAACAGGTTGCATCAAAACACTGGATCTGAAATCCCCCAAATATGGAGTGTTTAAAATCTAGGTGGACATTTTGAAGCATGGTTGCTGCTGTAATTCAGGCCCTAATTTTTCCAGAGGCTGAGTATCCCTTGTGGGTAACAAGGCACTTTTAATACCTATGATGTAAATGCTGTTTGAGAGTATTTAGAACATGGCTGAACTGGACTCAACTTAAGGATGTGAATAGACCTTTAAGCACATTGCTGTGTATGGATGAATTGGGTATAAGCACGTGTTTAGCTGAATTTCTGCCTAAATTGGAGCCCAGAATATCCACATATAATACAAACTGGCACAGCTGGTTCCAAGCCATGACATTTGGGTCCAGTTTCTAGTATGTGGATCTACAATGGTAGGGGCTGCATTTAGTTAATTAAACAAATGCACTCTGGCGATTACCATCTACAAGTCCTCTCTGCAAACTTCAAACCAGTTTTAACAAATCCCTGGGTCAAATCAAGACACTGCATTGTGACTTACAGATATAGCCTATATGTTATGTGGGAATAGCAGCACTTCAGTTTTGACCAACAGGTAGAATTATGGCACTCAGCTGAACAGAATTCTTCATTCTTTCACCTGCTCTCCCAAATAGGAACCACCCATGTATCCTAAAACCAATCTGACTGACATCTAGTTCCTGTCAAAGAGCTACAGAATCTGAAACATAGTAAATATAAAACCCTCTTTTTATTTCCACACCTGTTGTATGTTTAATTCCATTCCAACCTAAAAAACAGTAATGGAAAGTGAAGCCCTAGGCTAATAAAGGAGGTGTAACTAGGGACCTATCTAAATTGTGGCAAGAGGAAGGGATTTTTGCAGGTTGCTGATTTCATGGTCTTGTTGAGGTGAGCTCCCCCTTGCTGCTGATTGGCCAAGGGCCCCAGTGGCCCCACCCCTCACTGCTGATTGGCCAAGAGGCCAATCGCTTATCTTCAGACTGCAGCATTGCATCTCACTTCTTAAAAGATGGTGTCAAAACCTTTTCACTTTCCTGACTGGTGCATTCGATTGGTCTTCATCATCATTAACTTAGTCTCTCCGTAGCTCTCCCTCTAGCCATGTGCTGTATGGCTGCAGGAGTTGCCGCACTTTCTTTGTATTCTGGTAAGCTTTATTTGGTTGGGCAGGAAATTCTATGCAAAGTTGTGGGAATTACTATTTTTTGTGTTGATTGTAGAAACTGCCATTTTTTGTAGTTTCTGCAAAAATTGTGAAACCACAATTTAAGTAGATTTCTAATTATAAGTCTGAATCCTATGTTTTTCGGTTACAATATATATATAAAAAATGATTGTGTGTGTGTGTGTGTGTGTGTGTGTGTGTGTATGTGTATGTATCTACTAGTTAGAGACTATATCCAGAACTAAATCCTGTTCTCTGACACTAGTTTGTGCAACAAACATCTTCTGTGTACAAATAATCTTCTGTGTACAAATTAATTTTAATTTGCAACATTATACAAACCTGCTAAATATGATGGGTGAAAAATATCCTCCTGCACCACAGTCTTGGAAAAAAGTCAGGGTACAGAAAAGTCAAAGGCTGACTAGCCAGAGCTCTCACTTAATGTGATTAACTCCTGAAATTTCTGGGACAGTCCTGATTTTCAGAGAGCTGTCCTGGTGTCCCTGAGAAACTGCCTGAAATGAAAATTTTGTCATAATTTTGATAAATTCTTTCGGAACTAGTTCCAGGCAACATCCTGCTGTGTCTACTGCACCTGTTGCTTGGTACTATAAGAGCACATCTATACATGATGCTATATCGCCATAGCAACGTGCCATGGTGACATAGTATCCACAGGTGTCTACACATGTCCAGCAGCTACTGTGCTGTAGCATCACACTCCTCTGTTATAGTGCATCATTACAGCGAAGCATGCTAAAAATAACCATGCATCACACTTCAGTTCTTCCAAAAGGAAGTACTAAAGCACAGTGCAGTAACAACATCGCCATAGGGCAACATGTAGATGCGCCCTAGGAGTATGACCACACTGCTTCTGGGTTGACTTCTGGCTACCTTCAGAATGGGAAATACCATAACCACGTTTAGGAGGTGCTGTCTGTAGGCTAATTGCTCTGCCTCTTAGCACCAATTACTTGTAGTACAAACAGATCTAATTAGCCTTAGCACAGTGCAATGTAAATGTGGCTAAGCTGCTTTTGTTTCAGAAAGTAGCTGTGGGAAACTTCACGACTGAGAAGCAGCACAGATGTTTTCTGCCTCTTAGCAGAGGTAATTAGTAGGGCTGTGCAAAGCTTCGGATCATGATTCGGATTCAGAGATGATTTGGATGATTTGGAGGCTGAATCTACAAATCCGAATTGAATCGCGGTAAGCTTTAGGCTTTCCGAATCGATTTGGAGCTTCTGAATTGACTTGGAAAAGATTCTGCCATAGGGTATAATGGGGAATCAATTAAATATCTATAACTTCGTTGCCTTTTGGCTGATTCAGATGAAGCTTGCAGGGATCGTAGCCTCTGCTGAGAGCATGACGTGTGTCAAGTTTCAAGGTGATAGGTGCAGGGGTTCAGGGAAACTGTGCCACAAAGTTCTGAAAGCAAAACCCATGTCACGTGTATGTGGTAAGCCACAGTGGGGTGAAAACTGCAGAGATGGTAGCCCCTGGTGAGACCACAAAGCCTGCCAAGTTTCAAGGAGATAGGTGCAGGGGTTTGGGGGAAACTGCACCTCAGGCTGCGGACAAGCAAAACTCATGACACAGGTGACACTGCATGTGTTAAGGCACAGCAGGGTGAAAGCTGCAGGCCTGCTAGCCCCTGCTGAGGCCACAAGGCCTGCCAGCTGTCAAGGAGATAGGTGCGGGGGCTTCTGGATTCTGGGGCCCTGCACCTCTGGCTGTTGACAGGCAAAACTTGTGACATGGGTGCTTGTGCAACTGTGTCTGTCTTGGGGCACCGAGAGGGGGGGCAAGGGGACTACTGCAGGCCTGACTGCTAAGCTACTATGTTACCAACCAATCACGATTCACTCAGGGACCAGCTCAATACACAGTAGCTAACTACTAGTAGCTACTAGATGGCAAGTTAATTAGCAAGGATTAACACCTACAAAACCACAAACTAAGGAGAGGAAATAATCAATACAGACAATCAAGTGCCCCAAGACAGACACAGTTGCACAAGCACCCATGACACAAGTTTTGTCTGTCCACAGCTAGGAGTGCAGGGCCCCAGAACCCTGCTGCATCTATCTCCTTAACAGCTGCCAGGCTTTGTGGCTGCAGCAGGGCCTAGCAGCCAGGCCTGCAGTAGTTTTCCCTCCCCTCTGCCCCAAGACAGACACAGTTGCACAAGCACCCATGTCACGAGTTTTGCCTGTCACCAGGTAGAGGTGCAGGGCTCCAGAACCCAGAAGCCCCACATCTATCTCCTTGGCAGCTGGCAGGCCTTGTGGCCTCAGCAGGGGCTAGCAGGCCTGCAGCTTTCACCCTGCTGCGCCTTAACACACACGGTGTCACCCATGTCACGAGTTTTGCTTGTCCGCAGC